AGTAAAACAAGAAAATTGCAGTATACAAACAGAGTAAACTTGTCCGTCTTCACTGTTCATCTTGCGGAGACATTATAGACACATCTTTACAGTCTTTTACCGTTTTCATAAAATAAACTCTAGCAGACATAATAATATTATTGCTTTTGAAATTAGGTATTGCAATGCTAATTCATAACAAAGACGATATTGAATTCGTCACTGAATTCCCATGTTTTTTGGGACACCCTGTACCTTAACTGGTTAATATAAATAAAACACTTCGGGCGAAGAACTATTGAAATGAGTCTTTGCCACAAACTTAAATTGGCTAATCCTTCTATCTCTGTAACCTGATATTAATCTTGGATATTTCAAATTTCAATTATTTGATCACACAGAACCCATAGTTTGAAATATCAAAGGTCTACGACATCGGGTTGCAAAGGGATTAGAAAATCAGAGTATGAATATGCAGGAACAGTTTTAAAGAGTTCCTTATAATTATTTGAATAAAAAACTAAATATCTGCAACATTCCATCATCAGAAAGCGAAGAATACGACATTTGATGAACTCTTTCGATATATTCGTTATCAAGGGTTTCACTGTATTTAGTCATTTCATGAAGATAGTGTAAAGTCCAGTTTTTCGGCAATTTGACCACCATTTTGAAGATTGAACCTGGATATAATTCCAAAGGCCAAAACTGTTAAATAGCGCTGATCCACCGTGATAACTTTTAAAGGAATCGAGTCTTTGCTACAAACTTTGCTGCAACCTGATGAAAACCTTTGATAGTTCAAACTTAGCTTATTTAATCCACGAATTCATCATTTTAAAATATCAAAGGTCTACGACATTAGGTTCCAAAGATAAAGGGATTAGAAAATCAGAGTTTGTGAATAAGATTCTTGAAGATTACGACCCCATAACAATCAGGTGGGAACTGGCTTAATCTGTAGGATTGCACAAGATCATAAATCAAAAGTTTTAACCCCAGTTGATTGAGGCAGTTTTTAATAATGGGTTAGATGAAACTCTTGTATTTTGGATATCGAGATCAATGCTTGATCTAGATTTTTTGTTAATCTGCAGATTAATCTTAGTCTAAAATTTAATCCTTCTTCGATATCCTGTTTCGTAATTAATCCCTTAAGCGATAATTGAAATGAAGACATTAAGCACTGATCCTCAAATTAAAAGTGCCCACAATATATATCGAGATTAAGCAATATGGATTATGGGTATCTAACACAGAAGTTTAGATTAAACCTTTGTGGGGCAGAGAAACGACTAAGCACTTTAGAAACTAGATCAGCCTGTTCTGTGTACTTAGGGTTTCCAATTGAAATTCCGTCACGCGAAATTGCGCGGGATTACAGGGATTGCAATTGCGCGCAAGTAAAATTCAATTGCGTTGGAAACACTAGCCATCTCTATAGCTTTTTGGGCTGGTTCGTTTATATCTTTTTCCAGAGTAAACCTTTTGGATTATTTATTGATGATTTTACAGATTTGATTGTTTAAATCTGGAATAATAAACCACCTGCTTGTACAGTATAATGTAGAAGGTGTCCCAATAAGCAAGGGAATTGAGGGACAAGAAGGTATTTGTTAAGAAGTAGCATGGTGTATAATTATATACCTGATTACAAAAGTATAATTATGTTAAGATGTAGCAGTGTATATACCTGATTACAAAAGTATAATTATGTTAAGAAATAGCAGTGTATATACCTGATTACAAAAGTATAATTATGTTAAGAAGTAGCAGTGTATATACCTGAATACAAAAGTATAATTATGTTAAGAAGTAGCAGTTTATTTACCTGATTACAAAAGTATAATTATGTTAAGAAGTAGCAGTGTATATACCAGATTACAAAAGTATAATTATGCTAATAAGTAGCAGTGTATGTACCTGATTACAAAAAGTATAATTATGTTAAGAAGTAGCAGTGTATATACCTGATTACAAAAGTATAATTATGCTAAGAAGTAGCAGTGTATATACCTGATTACAAAAGTAAAATTATGTTATTTACCTGATTACAAAAGTATAATTATGTTAAGAAGTAGCAGCGTATATGCCTGATTACAAAAGTATAATTATCTTAAGAAGTAGCAGTGTATTTACCTGATTACAAAAGTATAATTATGTTAAAAAGTAGCAGTGTATATACCTAATTACAAAAGTATAATTATGTCTGCTAGAGTTTATTTCTCTGTAATTTGAAAAGGGGAATTTAATGGCTCCCCGGTATTGGATATTATAACTTTCGATTTAAAATGTTTAGTTCAAAAAGCATGGATAAACATTATCATGGAAATAAATAGGAATTTTGTCCATTAACAGATTCTCTTTGTCTACGTGTAAACTTTATTGTATTGATATAAACGCCGACACTGTATAAAAGATTTAAGTTTTTGAACTTTCAAAAGATCCCACAAAAATAGTTTTACTTTCAAATTGTTTACAATAAACATACTTCATAGAATTTGGTGCAGGTGCCTTTTATGCGTCAAACCCTACACGACTTTAAAAAACGAACAAATTTTCTTCTACTCTAAGATGACCTAAGAGTCGGATAAAATGTCGTCCTCGATGATGCTTTTTTCGATTTTGTGATTAAAAACACCAACAATATATTAACATGATGCTTAACACGTTCAGTTTCAGACTGGTCGGTACTCACTTTGTAGCTCATTTTGACAATCAAACGTAGATTTATAAAATGTTACATGGATAAGGGGGGGGGGCCAAAAATAATATGAAACTTTAATTACGACCTAATGTAATGAACGCAAAGTGGCTGTTTTTTTCCTTCAATATAGCTAGTTTTGAAATGACAAACTAAGTTATTTGACACAGATTAACAACTAAATAAGTTCTGTACAGTCGTCTTTTCAGTCTCGTCCTTTGTGGGTAACCCTGTATGTTTGTTGCCTTCGGCATGTTTAATAAAACATTGAATTTCGTTTTTATTAAAAACTTTTTTCTCGGCACAACAGGCGATCTTGCAATGCTTTCTTTTATACTTTGGTAATATAATATCAAGTTACCCTGTAAAATAATATAGTTTATTCATTGAAGGAGCTGTCAGCATACTAATCATGAAGTTGATTCCAGTATCATTTTTAAAGGATTTGAGTCTTTGCCACAAACTCTGATTTTCTAATTTATAATAAAAGGGATAACCTCTATGATTCCTAATTATGAAAAAAGTGTCAGAGGAAAAACACCGTGTATCTATTAACTCTGTATGAAGTATATTCTACCATGATGTGCAATTCTAATTTATTATCTGTATTCATAATATTATTATCTTAACTATTTTGTATGTTGACTCAGCCGGGCTAGCCCGGTCAGTTCATTTTACCTGTTTATAAATAAAGTAGTTGAATATCATTAGTTGATCAGAACGGACGTATACAGAGCCTTGAGTTTTGGCTAGAGATTTAGTTAGAGAGAATCTCATTAGACTTTGAGTTAAGTAATCGTTAGAGAAGTAGCGTCTAGATTTGTTACAAAAGTAAATCTCATTAGACTTTGAGTTAAGTAATCGTTAGAGAAGTAGCGTCTAGATTTGTTACATGTAGACCGTGTATACAGTTTAGTATTTACAGTACACGGTGCACCCATGTATGGTACACTGTACAATGTACTACACCGTATAGTGCACTCGGTACATGGTACACTGTACCATTTATTTTTTCCTGTTAAATTATGTACAGGAAATAAAAAATGTTATAATTTTGAAAGAAAAATAGACTAAGCAATGATGATAAATAAGCTTTAAAACAGCTGTTCTTATGTCAATTTAATACTATAAAGATAATTTAAAGAAAAACTTCCTACAATATATGCATAAGACATAATCCCTGGTGCTATAGCAAAACCCATGGAAGGCGAAATTTTTTTCTTAGAGCTATTTTTCGACCATACAAATAAAAAAAGATAAAAAATACTACTTATTTATACACCTAACTTCCCCGTCATCTGTACAATAGTATCTATCTGTATGCTGGAGATAGTAGGGTTGACATCTTACATCAGAGTAGACCCAGGCGTATAAAGGATTCCAGTAGGGACGTGATTTCTCCTCACTATAGTAAATATGAATTTAGGGTCTTTTTACCAATGAAAGTAGAGCATACCTATGAAAGGAATTGTAAACCTGTGAAGAGGAGTGTAAACCTTGAAAGAGATTGTAAACTTTTGAAAGGGATTGTAAACCTTTAAAAGGGATTGCAAACCTTGAAAGGGATTGACAACTTTTGAAAGGGATTGTGAACCTTTAAAAGGGATTGACAACTTTTGAAAGGGATTGTAAACCTTTGAAAGGGATTGTGAACCTTTAAAAGAGATTGACAACTTTTGAAAGGGATTGTGAACCTTTGAAAGGGATTGTAAACCTTTGAAAGGGATTGTGAACCTTTGAAAGGGATTGAAAACTTTTGAAATGAATTGAAAACTTTTTAAAGGAATTACAAACTTTTGAAAGGGATTTAAAACAGACAAGATGAATTTAGATATAGAAGATATATATTACGGTAAACTAGAAGTCCTGGTGAAAGTCCTGTAAGCCAGAACTTTTAACCATGTTTTTTTACCCAATAAACGGAAATTTTTCGTATTTTCTATTTATACTTTTTTGTTGGGGTAATATTCTTTAGTTTATGTATTAGGATGATGTATTCGGCCGAACCTACCAGTGAATGCCAGGTTTCGTAAAAATGTTGATGAGTTGACTCTAGTACCGTGGTTTAGGTGATAAACTTATCATCTACTATGAATTTTTTATTTAAACCATAAAGTTTTGGTATCTATTCCATGGTTTTTTATCATTTAAACTATGTAGTTTATTACCTGAACTATCTGAACCTATCTCTAAATGTGTCTCGAGTTTATTACCTGAATCATGGAGTTAATCTTTTAAACTTAGAAGTTTATCATCTGAACCTAGAATAGTATCATCTGAACCTAGACTTTTATCATCTGAACCTAGACTTTTATCATCTGAACCTAGACTTTTATCAACTAAACCTAGTAACTCATCATCTAAACCATGGATCCAAAGCCAACTCATCAAGATTTTAACAAGTTCTGACTTTCTCTGGACTGCAAATCTGAATTAGTACAAATCTTTAACGTGGATTTTTTCAGGATTACCTGGGTCAAAGATTTTGATATTTTCATTTTGAAATCAGTTGGACCCCATCTTTACCGTAGAATTTATTTCATCTCTGAGCACGCACTTCATGTCTTGAAAGGGTTAAGCCTCAATGTGATATGTTATCTATATACAGGGTGTCCCACGAAACATGACAGTTGGTGAATAGTTTTAAATTTCTTCTTCCATAATTTGTTAAGTTCTTTGATACAAAAGAGAATAGTAATAAATAAAACATGTCAGTCATTTTATAGAAAATTGATTTCAAAGTAAAGTATATTTGAGTAAAAGAGTTTGTTAACGAAATAAACTGAAAAAAGTCTTTAATATCTAATGGCCAAACAGTGGTACCCCGGGAGTGACATAGGCTAAAAAAACTACATTACAATTATAATTATAGCGCGGGTAACCGGTGGGAGTAACTTTGACTATGAATAATAATATAAATCTAGTTGGGCAACGCCGGGTACTCCAGCTAGTATTACATAGGGTTACATAAATACACATACTCATTGCATAATGTATTTATGTATGTATGTACAGGGGGTGAACAATAACATTTAGATTTATAATGAGATGGTGAAATGTTTACACGAACCTAGGTTTATTATCAGCTAATTAGGTTGAGTAACATCAACACGCCTATTAACAATCATAAAAAAGATTCAAAACATAGAGTTTTATCAAAACAAAGTTCAAGAAAAATTTGAAAATATATTAACTTGGATTTACTGAACATGATGGTAGGTTACTAAAAATAAGGTCATATGATTTATTATGGAGCCCAGTCCCACTGTCCATTAAAAATTACACAATAGAAAATGCAACAAATTCATTCTAAACAGTGGAACTAAAATCATTTTCTTTTTGTTCTATGATAAAATGACAATCATTGATTTTGCAATCTGCAAGAGATTTTTCTTTAGGAACTTTTGATCTCGATATCTACATTGGGCACTTTTTTTTTTACGTAGACTCTCTTAATTTTGGAATCCCACAATTTCTTAGTTATCTCATTTGTTGAACGCAAAATTGCCCGGCTTCTGATTGAATGTTCACTGGAAATCTGATTGGCTGCACTTAAGTGTCGAATAAAGATTATCAACTGACTTAAACACAAAAGTTTTTACCTCTTTTTCGATTCACAACAGTACTATCTATCTGAGTAATATCGAGAAATATATCTCTTAATAAATGTTTAATTCAACGAATTTCCTGCATTGTCCTCTCTAATAAAATAAATCCGCAAATCATCTGTACAGAGAAAACGCATTTGAAAATAATCAGTTTTCAAAACAAATGGATATATTATCTATCTTTAATTTAACAAAGTTTTTAAGTTATAAATCTGACGTCTCACCCTGTTAATGGAGGGTTCCAAGAATTATCACTTACAGTCCCATTCAAGACTTAAAATTATTTTTTAGATGTTTAGGCTTTATCGCTACTTATCAGAAGATACCAAAACGTACTGATAAAACGTATCCGTTATCTTAATTAACAAGTTAAAAAAGCAATAATATCCAAAGACGTTGCAAAAATTACACCATCTTTGATAAAATCCGTTATTGAGCTGATCTTAGCATATCATTATTATCAGCCTATACAATATCAGTTACGTTATAGGTGTTTCATTGATTACTAATTAGCTTTATCAAGTTATCAGTAAATAAAAAGGTAAAATGTTAAATATATGACTGAAAACAATTGTAAAAACACTCGCTTAAAAAAATTTCCGAACCATCACCACTTTATGAGACTGACAAGATGTTTGTTTTCAATGCCTGATTTTTTTAACATTTTAAACTAGAACCGACACAACATGACTTCACGTCAAATTAAAGTGAATCTTAAGTTTGATTAAAATCTTACATATTTTCAATTTATCCTCCCCATTCTGAACAGCTGTTGGGAATTTCTGATCTGTATCAAAATAAATTAGCTTTTCTTTTATTTCTGTGTACTTGCTATTTAGATTTTAGTTGAATGTTTTTTGCTCTGTGTCATTTTTAATTTACGACTTTTAAATATTTGAAAAACATCCCTAGCTTGTCCTAGACGCAGTGCGCGGCACAGCCTCTCTTGTAGTTTACAGCTCCTCAGAATGTCTAAACTAACCCTGAATAATATAATACTGATGTCGTAAAGCAAAAATTGACAAGAGCAAATATGCCTCAGGATTCTCAAATTCCATAATTCAGTTTAATTTATTATTGTCTATAAGATTTTTTATAACAATAATCCGTTTTGGTGAGGAAATCTGTATTTAAGAAAGTGTTGTGAGCTTGTTTATATTCTAGACTATGCTAGAATTGACTCAGCTTTATCATCTTTCTTTGGTAGTTAAACCCCCGGACAAATCATTATATTTTGAAGGTCCATGATGGTAGGTTCATTATACTCTTCTCTCTCTTAAATAATATGTGTAAACGACAAAATAGAGTAAAGGAGTTGGGTCTTTGTCACAAACTTTCTAACTTCTATATCTATTAATACCCATTGATATAGATCTTATTTATTTCAAACTATAACTTCTGTGAGATCAAATAATCAAAGTTTGAAATATCAAAGGTTTACACCATCAGGTTGAAAAGGTATTAGAAAACTTGTGTTTGTGCCAAAGATTCAATTCCTTTCACTTTCGATTGAAATCATATGTTTTAATAACAACTCCTCTGATTGAAATCATATGTTTTAATAACAACTCCTCTGATTGAAATCATATGTTTAATAACAACTCCTATGATTGAAATCATATGTTTAATAATAACTCCTCTGATTGAAATCATATGTTTTAATAACAACTCCTTTGATTGAAATCATATGTTTAATAACAACTCCTTTGATTGAAATCATATGTTTAATAATAACTTCTCTGATTGAAATCATATGTTTTAATAACAACTCCTCTGATTGAAATCATATGTTTTAATAACAACTCCTCTGATTGAAATCATATGTTTAATAATAACTTCTCTGATTGAAATCATATGTTTTAATAACCTCTGATTGAAATCATATGTTTTAATAACAACTCCTCTGATTGAAATCATATGTTTTAATAACAACTCCTCTGATTGAAAAGTTATCGAAAAGAACAAAAATGTTTTGAGTTTCTTGTATTCTTGATTTACTTTTTTCATACTTGTGCAAAAACAAAGTCAAAACCAGAGGAGCTACAAGGTTAAAAATTCGTACTAGTAGAGTGTATAATATATATTGCATTAAGATGAGAATCCTGTTGCTTGTGTTGGCGTATTTCTGTGTTTTCTGCTCCGGAGCACAATCTTCTAAAAATATTAAATCCATGGAATCAAGGTGAGTATATGTACAAGGTGTCTCTTAAAAAATTTGTTTAGGATTTTTAGCTTACTAAACATCGTTGTATTTTGTTAGAAAGTGCATCTATAGTTTGTATAATCCCCGTCGTCGTCTATTAACATTTTTCTCTAAAATGCCGTTTTAAGTATAGGACTAACATTCCTACCTGAAGCACTTTTTAACACAATACAACGATGTTTATTTGGCGAAACACACGTTTTTAGAAACACCCTGTATATGTATACATGTACATGTTATGTATATGCAGATTCATTTTGTTTATGTATTTCTATAAAAACTGAGAAACGAATGTTTTAAAGTCTTGAGCTTTAAGGTTTAAAATCCCTTTCACTGTTTAAAATCCCTTCCAAAGGATTACAACCCCCTTTAAGGTTTACAATCCCTTTCATTGTTTAAGATCCCTTTCAAAAGTTGTCGATCCCTTTCAAAGGATTACAACCCCTTTCATTGTTTAAAATCCCTTTCAAAAGTTTCCAATCCCTTTCAAAAGTTGTCAATCCCTTTTAAAGGTTTGCAATCCCTTTTAAAGGTTTACAATCTCTTTCAAGGTTTACAATCCCTTTCACAGGTTTACAATTCCTTTCATTGGTATGCTCTACTTTCATCGGTAAAAAATCCCTAAATCCATGTTTACTATAGTGAGGAGAAATCCCGTCCCTACTGGAATCCTTTATACGCCTGGATCTACTCTGATGTAAGATGTCAACCCTACTATCTCCAGCATACAGATAGATACTATTGTACTGATGACGGGGAAGTTAGGTGTATAAGTAAGTAGTATTTTTTTATTTTTTTATTTTTATGGTCGAAAAATAGTTCAAAGAATAAATTTTCGCCTTACATGGGTTTTTCTATAGCACCAGGGATTATGTCCTATGCATATATTGTAGGAAGTTTTTCTTTAAATTATCTTTATAGTATTAAATTGACATAAGAACAGCTGTTTTAAAGCTTATTTATCATTATTGCTCACTGCTCAGTCTGTTTTTCTTTCAAAATGCACCATACGGTGTATTACATTGTACAGTGTACCATACATGGGTGTACCGTGTACTGTAAATACTTAACTGTATACACGGTCTACAGAGTAAATGTACATAGATACATGGTGTTTTTCCTGTGACACTTATTTTCATAGTTAGGAATCATACAGCAGGTTATCCCTTTTATTCATAACATCCCTTCAATATGAAGTTTGTGTAAAAATCAATTTCTCCAAGATGGCTGGTCTGGGAAGAACTGTGATGAACCGGTTTGTGGAAATGGATGCGGGCATGGTAAATGTGTAGCTCCAGATATTTGCAGGTAAAGAAATTGAGTCTTTGTAACAAAGTCTGATTTTCTAATCCCTACATTTTTTACACCTGATGGTGTGGTTAACACCATTGATATTTCAAACTTAGATTCTATCATCTACAGAATTCATAGTTTGAAATATCTAAGGTCTACGGCATTGGGTTAGTTTTTGACAATGACTCAATTCCTTTCTAAAGAACATTTTTTGTCAAGATAAAATTGGAAAACACCTCCTTTCAATATATTTTGTATATATAAAATATATATAGTATTTTCAACTTTTTCAGTTTAAATATACATTTTAGATGTTTAAATATATATTTCTTCCAAGACAAAAAGTTTCATATATATATATCATTGTTTTTATCCGGAAACTTGATTTATAATTTGTGGAATTGAATTCTATTAAAATTCATGGTTTCAGTTTCGTTATATATTTTTATAATTTGTGGAATTGAATTCTATTGAAAATCATGGTTTCAGTTTCGTTCTAGATTTTTATAATTTGTGGAATTGAATTCTATAGAAAATCATGGTTTCAGTTTCGTTATAGATTTTTATAATTTTTCAGATGTCACATGGGCTGGCAAGGAAACAGTTGTGAGCAGTGCATCAAACATCCAGGTCTCATTAAATTAAGGATTTTTTATTAAAAGAAAAATCTTGAATACATTTTGTTGCTAGGATGTAAACATGGATGGTGTGATAAAGCTTTTGGATGCACATGTGAAGATGGCTGGAAGGTTTGTTCTCCCCAAGATTTTTTAGAAGTTCAAAGAGTTCCTTCTTCAAAGACCCATCCCCCCCTCCGCTCAACATTTATATCTTATTACCATATAAAATGTTTTCTAAAATTCTTCCAAGCTTATTTAAATATAATATCTAGGGATTGGATTGCAGTATTCCAAAGTGTTCTGACGGATGCTCTCATTTATACGGATTTTGTGATGTAAGTATAATTATAAACTACACATTTTCTAAATAGATCCATTAATATCATTGCAATAAACTCAAGATTTCTAATATCTTTGCAATCAAATGTCAACAACGTTGAGTTTCCAAGATAAAACTCAGTTCCTTCGAATAAATCAAGGAAGAGAAACAAATATTTTTTTTAAAGAAAAGTTTCCTTGTTCCTGGTGCAAACTGTTTATATTTGTCCTACCTTTAGGTTCCTGGTGAATGTATTTGTAAACATGGTAGCGGTTACCAAGGAGAGAATTGTACTCAGTGTACTACTTTAGAAGGTAATATTTCAACTTGGTAAACAGCGGTTACCAAGGAGAGAATTGTACTCAGTGTACTACTTTAGAAGGTAATATTTCAACTTGGTAAACATGGTATGGTTATCAAGGAGAGAATTGTACTCAGTGTACTTCTTTAGAAGGTAATATTTCAACTTGGTAAACAGCGGTTACCAACAAGAGAATTGTACTCAGTGTACTACTTTAGAAGGTAATATTTCAACTTGGTAAACATGGTATGGTTATCAAGGAGAGAATTATACTGAGTGTAATAATGCCTATTCAATATATCAATGAAAGGCATGATACATTTTTGTACAAAGTATTCATTGCAAATGAATACTCAGTAACGGGCGTAACGTAATACCCTTTCACCCGTTTTAAAGGCTCCAAAATGTTTTGTCTTCTCAATTTTAAACTTGCCCTGGAACATGATAGAAATGAAAATAAATCATATTGTTAATTCATCCCACTCTAATTTTCCCAACACTTCCTTTTATCTACTTATTTTTGTAGTAGATTACTTATTTAATATTTGTTGTACAGGATGCCAGCATGGATACTGTAATAAATCTGGAGAATGTATCTGTGATCCATTTTATTCTGGAGATCTTTGTGATTGTGCTGAGTGTAGTGAAGGTTGCCATAAACATCATGGATACTGCAAGTAAGAATACATTCCAGATTTCAACTTTTTCTATCGCTTACACATCATCCAGACAGAACAAACACTAGGCTGGGAGGATATCAGAAATATGAAGACGACATTTAAAAGATTATTTTCTTTATTGTTCCTGCGAGGGGGGGGGGGTAAGCATTACAGTGAAACTATGCGAGGTGGGGAAAACCAATTTTATTATTAGCCACTTAAAAATTTTAAATTTAAAAAATCAAAATTCGAATTTCATTAGATTTTTTTTTATTTTGAAAATCCGCGAAAATTTTTGTTAAAATCCGCGAACTCGTTTTGTTTTACAAAGAACACAAAGAGAACATGTTCACAATTAAAATAGAAGATAGGCGCGAAGCGCCCTAAAAACCTAGGATATATATAATCACAAGAAACTAATTGCATGTAAAATGTACATTGTACAACTATAATGATGGTAATAGTAAACAAAACAGAATTTTGTAAACTTTTACGTTATAAAATGACACAAAGTATTGCAAGAGGTACTCATGTATCATAATTGTACAAATATGTAACCTCTTGGCTTCACTGGACTTATAGAATGTCGTCTTCTGAATATATTCGAGCCTGGTGTTTGTCCAGTCTGGATTATGATATGGTTATCTTAAATTATTGATCTCAATATCCAATGTGGACACTTTTGAATTTGAGGATGCTTGATCCCCCGATTAAAGTATGACTGCCACGAAATAGAGAAATTAAATTGATCCGTAAAATTAGTATAAAAGGGATTTTAGAGTGTGATGTAATTTCAAGTGATCCCATATTTTTAAATTGAAAGTCCGATTCACAACGGTACCCTTTAAACCTTTGTCTGATCAAGATTTGTATTAAACTTGATAATAATATTAATAATGATAATTATGTATATCGACATTTTTAATTTATAGAAAAAACACTTTTTCCAATTGTGTCGAGGACTAAAAGTTCTGCGACCGCTATGAATTTGGCCCTAGTAAATACAAAATTTAAATGGAGAAATATAAAAACATAAAATAAAAACAAGAACATAATAAAATAAATGGAAAATTGCGCTGAAATATCGAAAGCAAACAAGGCAGAAAGAAGACGAGTAGGGGTTAGTGATTCCCAAAATGCAGGGCGAATACTAAATAATTTTAAATATCAATAAATGATTAGTAATGCAATGACAGAAACAGTTTGGAACTACGTTTAAACATTTACTAGCATTCAGGACATAAAATGGTTTTTTTTACATTTTGTTGATAGTAAAATTATTTGATCGCGCAGAGTTTGCAAGTTTGATGCGTGCATTTATGCCTCCAAAACAGCGAAGGAAATGACGATTTTTAAGGAAGAAAAACACTGATATTATTTCCATTGTTACTCAGATAAAGGTACCTTTGTGAATCGAACATGCAACTCAATAAATGGAAATTTAAAAATGTTCCACAGTCTCTTAAAGGGAAAGAGTTTTTTTTCAAATTGACACAATTCTTAATTCTTATGTAATTTTTATGTAATTGATCAATCCATTTATTCATAATCTCATTTTTAGGGAACCTAACACTTGTTACTGTGTTGTTGGTTGGCAAGGACCTAACTGTACTGAATGTGCTGTATATCCTGGATGTGAACATGGTACATGTGATCTTCCATGGACTTGTAATTGTGACGAGGTAAATACAGGGTGTCCCACAAAAAATGACTTGAAAGTCGTCTTTGATATTTGAATTTATTTGTGACAATCAATCGTCAACCTAATTAAACATGTTGTTCTTGAAACAATAACCTGCACAATAACTAGCCCTGACATTTTCTAAATGTGGTCTGCCTTTCTTGAGCTGTCAATATTACCGGAGATATTAAGAATTCCGTTCAGATTTCAATGTTGTAAAACTGTCGAAAGCTAATTGAAAATTAATATTACATAAGAGAATGGCTTTTAATGTATTGGAATGAGGGGAAGACGAAATGTCGTCTTGCTTTCTTTAAACTTTTCAATCAATCAATATTTATTCAAGGCATTAATACTTTGTAATGTATTTTCCAACAAAAATCCATTGATTAACATCGACAAGTGTTTTAATATTGCCTTTAATGTCAAACACAGTGTGCTGAAATGATTAAAATCAAGAGGATAATGAATATCTCAGAGGGGAAGAACTGCACATCACTGGAACGAATTTTGACTTTTGGATGAAAATTGCAATAAATACGGAGGAATTTTTCACATTTTAACAAAGATATTCGAAAAAAATCTTTATCAATTTGGAAAACATGCATATTTTTCCTTTAGAAATGTAAATAATACAAAATATTTAGGGGTTCACAGGATATTACTGTAATGAAACCATTGTATGATATGATGAAGAAGATGAAGTATTATCTGTAATTATAAATACATGAGATATCATTATGTAGCATGAATAGTTTTTATAGCATAGAAATAAAATAATAATCCAAGATTTTTTCTAATGTTAGATATGGTGTCCCGATAACATTGTGGCTTATTAACGTCTTTAAATAGCCTTTGGTTTGCAAGCAGCAAAATACCAGTAAACATATAGTACAGGGTGTCCCAATAAACATGGGAATTCAGTGACGAATTTGATATCGTCTTTTCAAATAATTCCTTGATTTATAGTAGATTTATAGTTCAGAGGCCAAGTACACGGAAACTAGAGGTCAAAATATGTATAGTTTAGAGGCTGAGAACTCGGAAACTAGAGATCACAAATATTCATAGTTTAGAGGCCAAGTAAACGGAAACTAGAGGTCAAGATATGTATAGTTTATAGGCTGAGAACTTGGAAACTAAAGATCACAGATATTTATAGTTCAGAGGCCAAGTACACGGAAACTAGAGGTCAATATATGTATAGTTTAGAGGCTGAGAACTCGGAAACTAGATATCATAGATATTTATAGAAGTACACGGAAACTAGAGATTACAGATATTTATAGTTTAGAGGCCAAGTACACGGAAATTAGAGGTCAAGATATGTATATTTTAGAGGCTGAGAACTCAGAAACTAGAGATCACAAATATTTATAGTTTAGAGGCCAAGTACACGGAGACTAGAGGTCAATATATTTATAGGTTAGAGGCTGAGAACTCGGAAACTAGAGATCATAGATATTTATAGTTTTGACGAGGCCAAGTACACGGAAACTATAGGTCAAAATATGTATAGTTTAGAGGCTGAGAACTCAGAAACTAAAGATCACAAATATTTATAGTTTAGAGGCCAAGTACAAGGAGACTAGAGGTCAAAATATGTATAGTTTAGAAGCTGAGAAGGAGAACTCGGAAACTAGAGATCACAGATATTTATAGTTCAGAGGCCAATTACACGGAAACTAGAGGTCAAAATATGGATAGTTTAGAGGCTGAGAATTCGGAAACTAGAGATTACAAATATTCATAGTTTAGAGGCCAAGTACACGGAAACTAGAGGTCGAAATATGTATAGTTTAGAAGCTGAGAAGGAGAACTCGGAAACTAGAGATCACAAATATTCATAGTTTAGAGGCCAAGTACATGGAAACTAGAGGTCAAAATATGTATAGTTTAGAGGCTAAGAACTCGGAAACTAGAGATCACAAATATTCATATAGTTTAGAGGCCAAGTACACGGAAACTAGAGGTCAAAATATGTATGTTTAGAGGCTGAGAACTCGGAAACTAGAGATCACAAATATTCATATAGTTTAGAGGCCAAGTACACGGAAACTAGAGGTCAAAATATGTATAGTTTAGAGGCTTAGAAGGAGAACTCGGAAACGAGGGATCACAGATATTTATAGTTTAGAGGCTAAGAACTTGGAAGCTAGATATCACAGATTTTTATAGTTTAGAGGCCAAGTACACGGAAACTAGAGATCAAGATATTTATAGTTTAGAGGCCAAGTACACGGAAACTAGAGATCAAGATTTTTATAGTTTAGAGACTGAAAACTTGGAAAGTAGAGGTCATATTTATCTCTAGTTAAGAACTTAAGAGACTTAGAACTTTGAAACTGAGGTCATTAGATCTGTACTTAAATGGCTTGTTTTACATGATTATTTTAGTTTTTGCACATTTTTTATGTTTTTGCCACAAAACTAAAATTTTAATCTCTATATTTTTGCAAATCTTTGTAGTAGACCTTTTAAAAATTTTAAACTCTGAATTCTGTTAGACCAGATAGACTAAGTTTATACACCATCAGCTGTTGCAAAAATGTAGGGTTTGGAAGGCTTTTCAAAATGTATAAACTAGGCTATTTCAATTGTAAACATTTTCTTTATATCCATTGAAAGACAAAAACAAAAAAAAATTCTGAGTTCTGTATTTTATTTTTTTTTAAGTGGATTTTTAATATTTAATGGAAACCAAATTTTGCTGGAGGCTAATTTTTTTAATTTTGATCATCCATAAACCTTCCCTGTGGTCATAGGAGGTCCCATACAAAATGTGGGCCAGATCGGTTCAGTCGTATTGACGTTCATTGGATACAAACAGACAAGCAAAGTATATGTATAGATGCCACGCGTTAGTATCTCAATAAGGATTTAGAGGAGGGAGGGTAAATATGACGACAGCAGGAATAAGTTTAATGCACTGTAGAGTGTAGATCATAGGCTGTATTTAGTTATGATTTCATTGGAAAATAGTCCTTGAAGACGACATTTCATTACTCTTTCTCAAACCTCAATTTTCAATCACTTGGCAAGACTTTATAAATTCGCAACTGATTGAAAAATTGCTGTCAACCCCTGGTATTTTTACACGACATGTTATAGTTAATTTAAGTAAGTTTTGCCAATTTATTTTTAGACATACAGTTTATTACTAGCAAAAATTGGCTTTTTATACCTATTGGGAGGGGGGGAGGAGGGAGGTAACCTTTCTATTTAACTAGATTACAGTGGGAACCATAAACATATTGAATAGTAAGACGACGTTTAAGTAATCTTACGGTTTGTAATGTTGTTTTAAAGAAGATAGTTTACCACTAGATTAAACAGCAAATAATTACTGAAATAGGCCTCTGTACACTTCACAACAGCTATGTTTAAGATTTACTGGACTATTTGAAATCAAATCTTAAGTCTGATAATCATATTACGGGTCTCACTGTAACTAAGCATGGAGTTGATAATGCAGGGAATGCAAGTTCCAAACCGGGCTCATTTTCCAAACCTGACACTGAGTGTCAAGTTTGGGCACAAATCTTCTGATCAGTGGCGTTTAGGTTTCTCCGGAGTAAATCTTATTTAAATAAAATTTCCAACATATCAAAAAGTATGACGACCCCTATCTACAAATATAGTTGTAAGTTTCTGTATTTAAAATGAAAACAGTAAGAAATACTTCATTTTAAGTAAAATAGAATATTAAAAACGATAAATCGAATGATGGACGCAAATGGGAACATTTACCAACTTTTGCAACAAATCCATAATTTGAGAATTTATTTCAAAGCCAAAGACACTTTCATAATTCACAGAATATCATGAATCACGAGATCTTAATATAGTTAAAATGAACCTCTGACTTTTGAATTTATTTTGAAAATAAGATTATTTGGTTTATTTTTCAAACAAATATGAAGTGTTGTATTTAATGTTCTGCATTTTTAAGTATAACGTAACTATTAAAGTTTTTAAAACGTTTATAAATCATTGTATTATATTATACAGATTTATTAACACGCAATAACAAATATACGTACATTTTTAATGGTGTTCAGTGATAACTAGACAACTCTGGAATAGTAAGACAACTTTGATCTCCTGTATATCCTACACCTTCTCCTTAGCTCAAGTTCCAGTATCAATGATTGGTCTCCTGTATATCCTACACCTTCTCCTTAGCTCAAGTTCTAGTATCAATGATTGGTCTCCTGTATATCCTACACCTACTCCTAGCTCTAGTTCTAGTATCAAGGATTGGTCTCCTGTATATCCTACACCAACTCCTCATCTCTAGTTCTAGTATCAAAGATTGATCTCCTGTATATCCTACACCTACTCCTCAGCTCTAGTTCAATTATCAAGGATTGATCTCCTGTATATCCTACACCAACTCCTCAGCTCTAGTTCAATTATCAAGGATTGATCCCCTGTATATCCTACACCAACTCCTCAGCTCTAGTTCCAGTATCAAGGATTGATCTCCTGTATATCCTACACCTACTCCTCAGCTCTAGTTCTAGTATCAAGGATTGATCTCCTGTATATCCTACACCTATTTCTCAGCTCTAGTTCCAGTATCAAGGATTTATCTCCTATATACAGAATACTATAATAGAAAGACGACTGATTGACTCAAGCTATGACGTTAAATAGTCAAATAAGCATGGGACACAGCAATTGTGCAGTGTAAACTGGTCCATTTCACTTAATTGTTGATTTAATAAGCTTCTTAGTAAATCAATTTGCTTTGTAACAACATCCAATAGGCTTAGTATTGTAATAAAGTAATCGTCCTACTTTAGAGTCTCTGGTTATCACTGTATCCCACACCAGCGTTAGTTCTAGTATCAAGGATTGCAATATATCCAGTGTAAGTAAAAGTATTTCTTTCTTATCTAGAGAACGGCATTTATCTTGCCGCAGAGAAAGCAGATCGTCGGCAATCTTAGCCCTGGAGTTCCATAGGGGAGTCAGTTAGCACGAAGCATCTGATCAGAAGAGTTGAATGGAAATATTTTCGCCCCTGGCGAATGTCATGTATATCTAGATCAACTCTAGTTGGTCCAACAATAATCGATTGTATCATTATAATGTAAATATATTGTGTGTGCAACCATGCTTTGTTATTCCACTCAATCTCTTGGCTTTTTTATACCGAATTCTTTTCAAGATAATACATTTACACCTTTCATTATCAACCCATTCATCTTTTCATATTACAGTACAGATTCTAAACTTTTATCGAGTAAATTAATGTCAGAGATTGTTATTTCTTTTCAATTCTACTTGTCCTAATAAAATGTCGTGAATATACTGTAGTTTATGATTGTGTTTTGAGTATTATACATTATTCCATGGCAAACTTTAGCATACTTAGATATGGTATTCAATTGAACACAATAACATTATCAGCCTATTTAAATGAACCCCAGAACTAAATAAGTTCATATTTCTTTACTAGGTCTAAGAAGCAGCATGATTGTAAGCAAACTTTACCTATAAGATTGGGTTGTTATTTTTCAGTCTAAAATCCATTTTTAATTTCATTTTTAAATTGTGACTGTCAATGATGGGTTGTTAAGATAAAAAAACAATGTTGAGAAACAAAATATAAAATTCATTTCAGACCAAGTAATGTATTACCAAGATGTATTTGCTAAATTGTTTGAATTTTCTCATAAAATTGGTTAAATAACTATTTTTACTTTTTCACTGAATTAGGCAGAAAACATACAGGATGTGTCAATAAACATGGGAATTAAGTGACAACTTCTATATCGTCTTTGTTCCATAATTTCGTAAACATAATTTTGTTGTATCACAGTTAAAACCTTTTCGGAAGTTTAAAAACTGTGGTCTACTTTTTTAAATCTTTAAAATTGACGGAGAAATTAGGAAATTTGTCCTCATTCCAGTTTTTTAAAACTCAACAAAACTCTTCAATTGTTTAATGTCTCTGTCAATCTTTTAGATACAAAGAAGGTTTGTTATGGAGAACTCATTAGAATTTTAATCTTTTTTTGATACACTTTATGTCATTTATCAAGTATCGGAAATCAAAGACGAAAGTCGTCTCTCAATTCCCATGTTTATTGGGACACCCTGTATCTTGCAAATGCCATGAACGATTCTCCATTTTAACCTTTAAACATCGAATCAGAAATGATCGCTTTATTTCTTTCAGAGATAAGATATGTGTTAGCCATTTTATTAATCTTTTCTAAAGCATTGTTAGAAAATTTTTCATTTGAATTGTGTGGTTTTAATGACTTGAATGTAAAAAGATTTAAATTCTGAGTTATGGGTTGTACAAAGTATCCCACGAAACATGACAGTTTGTGAATAGTTTAACATGTCTCCTTCCATAATTTGTTAAGTTGTTTCATACCAAAGATCGAATAATAAAAATATCTTATGGCGGTTATATTAAAGTAAAATATATTTGAGAAAAAGATTTTTTCAACTAAAAAACTGCAAAAAAAGTCTTTAATATCTAATACAGTATATGGAAGAAGACGTTCAGAACTATTCACCAAACATCATATTTCGTGGGACAATCACAAATCAATTAAAGTACTTTTTCTTTTCTTTTTTTTAGACTAAAGTAGTTTTGATTTGTCTCCTGGTTAATATATGCTACGGTTGGGGGGATCCAAGGTGAAGTATACAGTCATCAACACACTGATCCATTATTAAAGGGACTGTTCACTTCTTTGAAATTAAACATAAAACATTAATTTACGAATTTTGGATCAGAAAGTGACTAATCACGTGTTTCTGAGACCTGCACTCCTCAGTGGTCCCTTGAAATTATGTTTACAATCCCTTTAAAGAATATTTTTGCGGAATGTAGCGTGTATGTTGTTACAATATCTATTCTAACCTCTTAGGTTACAACATTAAAAGAAGTGTTCGCGAAAAATGAAAGGGGATATAGGCTGATGGAAATGGAATATTCGATATCAATTGCTACTAATTTTGCTTTCATCTGTTACGTATAACAAGAAATATCAACTTTATATGGATGCATCGAATTGAATTCGACATTTATAGGCTGTAATTTCTGAATGATTAATCTTGAATTTTATGAAATTATTTACGATCTGAGTTGAATAATGTAACTCCGTGGATCTTAGGTACAATACGTTTTTAACCATTTTCTCCTTACATAGGCTACAGATAAAAGTAGAAATAGTAGCGATCAATATCGGATTCAATATCAGCCTATAGACCCTTTCATTTTTCACGAACACGCCCTTTAAGTTAAATTATCTAGTGATGCTGAACCGTTCAAACCCTACTGGAACCCTGTGTACAGCTGGATATACTCAGATATTAGATGTCAACCCTACTATCTCCAGCATACAGATAGATACTATTGTACAGATCAGGGGGAAGTCAGATGTGTAAGTAAGTACATTTTTCATTCTAAATGTGTAATTTTTAACAGTTTATAAACATGATGTTTTCGTCTCATATATTTTAAAATTACAAAAATACCGAACTTTTCTTTAAAAATTATAATATAAAAGTTGGTTCATATTTTATAAGTCAACTTTAAACTTATTGTTTTATTTCATTTTTCATTTCATCTGTATATATCACTTTATGAGGCTTAAACTAAAAAATGTAAAGAATTAATTTTATAAAAATATGATCATTACGCAAGTACTTAATTTCTCGATTGATACATAATAAAATATTTGAATATTTAAATAAAACAAGATGGCTGGTCTGGGAAGAACTGTGATGAACCAGTTTGTATAAACGGATGTGAGAATGGGAAATGTGTTGCTCCAGATATTTGCAGGTAAAATAAGAACTCATCTTTAAAGGAAAATGTTAACCATTTCTACAGGGTGTCCCAAAAAACATGGGAATTCAGTGACGAATTCGATATCGTCTTTGTTATGAATTAGCATTCTAATACCTAATTTCAAAAGCCATAATATTATTATGTCTGCTAGAGTTTATTTTATGAAAAGGGTAAAAGACTGTAAAGATGTGTCTATAATGTCTCCACAAGATGAACAGTGAAGACGGACAAGTTTACTCTGTTTGTATACTGCAATTTTCTTGTTTTGCTAAGTACAACCGTATGCAGTGAAAACATAAACAAACAAAATGTGAACATAGCAGACGAAACTCTTACAGATTACAGCTTTCTCAGTAAAGAATTATTTAAAAAGACGATATCAAATTCGTCACTGAATTCCCATGTTTATTGGGACACACTGTATCTAACATAAATTAAAGGGCCATAAAACTTGGAACACGTTTATTTAGACAAAATATGTCCGAAAATAAATTAAAATATGACGACATCTTATTGTATCCTACCCTAGTTCTGAAAACTATAAAAGTGTATACACTAATTTCAAGTTAGTAGCGCATTTTAATATGCAGTTAAACCCCAATTGAGCCAAATATCGAAAGAATTTTTCAAATGTCGTCTTGACAGTTTTTCAATGTTTTTTTTACTTTATTACGTAAATCTCAGTATTTGCGAAAATAACTAAATAGCCATGAATATGCGGGAACAGTTTTAAAGAGCTCCATATAATCATTTAATTAAAAAACTAAATATCTGCAACATTCCATTATCAAAAGTGAAGAATACGACATTTGACGAATTCTTTCGATGTATAGCTTATTTGGGGTTTAACTGTAGATAAAATCCCAATTTGTTTACATGCACACATTTTTCAATCCCGGTTAATATGGCTGACAATCAACTAAGGTTTCGGTGCGTACTGCGGTGATTTGCAGTACTTTGACTGAATAAATATATAGTGGGGTTTAGTGGAGAGTGAGCTGACCCTTTATTATATCTAGGTGTGATATGGGATACCAAGGAAACTCCTGTCAACGTTGTATAATACACCCAGGCAAATATTTACATTTCAATTTTTTTCAAATGTAAAATTGTGTGCATTTGTAAAATTGTTAACAATTGTAAAATTGTTAACAATTGTAAAATTGTTAACAATTGTAAAATTGTTCACAAATGTAAAATTATTTATAATTGTAAAATTGTTTTCAATTGTAAAATTGTTAACAATTGTAGAATTGTTAACAATTGTAGAATTGTTAACAATTGTAAAATTGTTTACAAATGTTAAATTGTTCATGATCGTAAAATTGTTTGCAATCGTAAAATTGCAAGAATTGTTCAATTATATAAAGTGAAACCCAGAACTTCGGTAATTCGAAATAAAGTTCTTTCGATGACTCCGAGGTTCTGGATTTAACTGTATACAAATTACAAATGTATAATTGTTTACAAGTATAAAACTGTTTACAAGTAAAAAACTGTTTACAAGATAAAAATTAAAAGTTGTTTGCAAAATTGATAATAAGATTTCCAGGTTGCCAGCATGGGACATGTGAGGAAGCCTTTGATTGTAATTGCAAGGAGGGTTGGGTGGTATGTAACTTTTAATTGCAAGGAGGGTTGGGTGGTATGTAACTTTTAATTGTAAGGAGGGTTGAGTGGTATGTAACTTTTAATTGTAAGGAGGGTTGGGTGGTATGTAACTTTTAATTGTATGGAGGGTTGGGTGGTATGTAACTTTTAATTGTAAGGAGGGTTGGGTGGTATGTAACTTTTAATTGTAAGGAGGGTTGGGTGGTATGTAACATTTAATTGTAAGGAGGAATGGGTGGTATGTAACTTTTAATTGCAAGGAGGGTTGGGTGGTATGTAACTTTTAATTGTAAGGAGGGTTGGGTGATATGTAACTTTTAATTGTAAGGGGGGTTGGGTGGTATGTAACTTTTAATTTTAAGGAGGGTTGGGTGATATGTAACTTTTAATTGTAAGGAGGGTTGGGTGGTATGTAACTTTTAATTGTAAGGAGGGTTGGGTGATATGTAACTTTTAATTGTATAATTGGATTATTTGAGATCGGAACTTTTGGACTAACAACCTTTTGAGAAAGCAATAATTGGTATCAACTCTCATGAAAAAAATCACTTTAATTTTGCCAATTATTTTCTAATAATTAAGTAAAGCTTAAAAATTTACGAGATTAGGGCTAAAAAACTGAATTAGTGAGGTCGGATGTATGTGTAACTATGTATTATGAAATAAAAACTTTCTTTTTAACCAAAATTAAAAATTTAAAAATAAACTTGTTTTTGTTAAATTTTCTAAATTTATTTGTTTAGGGTTTGGATTGCAGCATTGCAATCTGTTCACCAGGATGTAGTTCAACTTTTGGAAGCTGTGATGTAAGTTTTTTCTTTCTGCATAATTATTTGTCCTGGATATATTTTCCGTTATTGTCCTGGATGCATTTCCTGTTCTTGTCCTGGATACATTTCCTGTTCATGTACAGTGTACATCATGTCCACGTATTCTAGTTTCCTGGAGATTGTAATTGTAAACATGGAAGTGGATATACAGGAGAAAACTGTACAGAATGCACTACGTTAGAAGGTAGGGCAGGGGATTGGAACACAAACCATTAATGGTTGATACTAATTATATCGAATTTTTAAATTTCGCCGATTTTTCTGTTTTAATCCTGGGATTTACAAAAGATCGATGTGCTTGTTTTGACTGTTTTTTTTTGTACACAAACAAACATACACCATGACAAGTCAAATATGTTAATGTTTATGTAGATTTATAAAACACACATTTTTTATTAAAAAAGTTATTAATTTTTTCATAAAGTTTTGAATAGTAATTAAGAAATAGAAAATTTTATCAGCTTTAATTTGAGAATTTTGAGTTACTTGTAAATATTTGTATTTACAGGATGTAAGAACGGATACTGTAATGAACCTGGAGAATGTATTTGTCAGGAAGGATATTCTGGTGAACTATGTGATATTCCAGTCTGTAGAGACGGATGTGATCCATTGAATGGTTACTGCGAGTAAGATTAACTTATACAGCAATAACCTAGCAATTATTGAGTAAATAACCTAGCAATTATTGAGTAAATAACCTAGCAATTATTGAGTAAATAACCTAGCAATTATTGAGTAAATAACCTAGCAATTATTGAGTAAAGATTACTAAACAAATCTTATACATTCGCTCATAATGGCGGGGAAAATTATAAAATTTTACGATAGCGTGAAAATCTTGAATTAAGACTCGTTTAATACTTTACTCTTTTTTCTTTCAAGTATAATAATTATAAAAAACAATGAAATATTTTATTTAGAAATCCGTACGAATGCATCTGTACTTTGGGTTATGCCGGGTACACATGTACTGAATGTGTACCCTATCCAGAATGTGAGCATGGTACATGCATTCTTCCTTGGCAATGCAACTGCGAAACGGTAATTTTTATTTTATAACAATAATGTGAATATTATTTGTTAATACTAGAAATTCAAGTAGCTTCGCGCCCTTCTTTCTAGGCTTTTAGTGCGCTTCGCGCACATCATCTATTTAAATTGTGAACATGTTCTTTTTGTTTACATTTTTAAACAAAAAAGAAAAAAATTTTGCGGATTTTTAAAAAAAAATTCGCGGATTTTCAAGAATTTATTTTTTTTTTTACAAAATTAAAAACCTTTAAGACACATTTTTTAATTTTTATCATTCATAAACCTTCCCTGTGGTCACGTGATGTCCCACAAAAAATTTGGGCCCGATCGGTTCAGCCGTTTAGACGTTTATTGGATACAAACAAACAGACAGACAAACAGACAAGCCAAATTTTTAGATAAACTAGAAATTCAAGGCGCTTCGCGCCCTTCTTTCTAGCCTTAGAGGGCGCTTCGCGCCCATCTCCTAAATTAATTGTGAACATGTTCTCTTTGTGTACATCGTAAAACAAAAAAAAATAATTCGCGGATTTTCACAAAAAATTTCGCGGATTTTCAAAATTTTAAAAAATTTAATGACGATCTAATTTTGATGGAGACAAATATTTGAAATTTTGATGATTCATAAACCTTCCCTGGAGTCCCTAGATGTCCCACAAAAAATTTGGGCCCGATCGGTTCAGCCGTTTTGACGTTTATTGGATACAAACAAACAAACAAACAAACAAACAGACAAACAAGCCAAATTTATATATAGATGATAATTTTTTCTTTGTACGTAATAATCTTCAAATAAAGATATATTATTATTTGACAGCCCGTAGTTATACAGCATATTATTAGCTTAGATATTAGAACTGTAACAATTCCTTTATAATAATATTTTTTAGGGGTTCACAGGACTTTATTGCAATGAAACTTTGACATAAGAGAAAACAGTTAGCATTATGGTGCAGCACATGAATTTGATACTGATGAGAATTTATTAATTTAACAAATAAAATTTCAAAATGATAAGAATTACACCTTATTGAATGAGATTGAGATGGAGTTGAAGAACTATTTTTTTCTACAAACATTACATTAACTAAAAAATCAGAATCACTACGATATTAAAAATATAAATATGAATGGTTTCAAATTACATTTTCTTAAGTTTAAAGGGAGTGACCGGCTATGTAAGGTAGTTGAACTGAGTATGCAGTAATGTGGAAAACTTCTTTCGGATTCATTTGAGAAATTTAAAACTTTTTAAAGATCTGTAAATCCAGAGTTTGAGCTCAAATTCGATGTTCAAAACTCCTACTTTGGGGGTGGATACGTTTTCGGAATAAGTTTTTTTTTAATTATTAAATAACGACCACTTAAAATGTAAAAAAAATCCTACAGTAAACTAATTAATTGTTTAGGAACAGGTTGAGAAAATAAAAATTAATCTTATCATCGAAAATAAGTAATCTTGTTCAATTATTAGTTTCTATTTTCTCATTATTCTGGTTTCTCATACTTCACAAAGATTTTCTGCAGATTTTCTGAAATATTATTGAAAAGACGACATTTGAAGAATTTGAAGAAATCTGCGAATAAATTCAAAGTAAATATGAAATTCAATATAATGATGAATACGAAATAATTGATTCTAGCATTGATTTATTGACAAATTTCTTTTGAGAAATATGTCCCTAACCATCTAATTAGATTATATGTCAGTGAAGAGCATTTTTAAACTCTCTCATGGAATAAATAAGAAAACCTGATGTTGCTGAAGATGATCAAAATAAAAAAACAATATGTAAATAAGTAAAATTTTACACGTTAGTTCATCTCTCAATATAAAAGATATTGCTATCATCAACTATTACCTCACGCATTCATTAATTTTTCTAATTAAAACTTGAATAACAACAACAAAGGGTATACACGGTGTTCAAAACAGATAAAAACTGTTTATGAAGAAAACAAAGTCAACTGCAGCCCAGGGTTTAATTAATTCTTCAGGGGTAGAATAAAAAGTTTAATTGTTTTTGTTTACCAAAATATAACAACTCTAAAAAGGAGTTTCAAATGAGATATTTGGGAAGAAACAAAATATGCCCGAATTGATTTTCTATTTTGAGGGACATTTAAAGATGCTTGATAGGTTCCTAAAAGATCAACCCCCGCCCCATTATTCGCCTTTTTCGTCTACTCTGTTTTACTTCCCTTCCTTCCTTTACAGAATATCATTAATATTTTGAGTTTGTTTTGAAATAATTCTGTGTGACAATGCGACAAATAGGTTTATCCACGGGATACAGAGGGAGAAGGGAGGAGTTTAAGCAAGTCAGGTTGATTACTGACGCTATTTTTGATTATATATTTTATCTTCTTCAAATAAGACTGGGACATTTTCTATTGTTTATTTAGAAAGGTTATTGCTGGTGTTTCTTTATTGAACATCCCTGTTTTGTGAATTTATAAAATATCATAAAAAGTTTATTCAGTTTAAATGTTAAATGTTGAAATTAATGCTTTCATGTACAACTTCTTTTCTCTGCAGAGTCTTGATCATTTTAGAATTCCCATCCTTGTATCACTCTGGTATAAAGTGTTATCTGACAACTAGAGGAGCTACAAGGTTGCATAGTTGTACCAGTTGTACTTGCTAATGCTCAGATTTTAGTAACTTGGTAAATAAATGTGAGGGAGTGACAGCAATTATCAAAAATTTCAAAAATAGGAATTTCCCGTCATTTGAGAAATTTCCAAAATCTTAAAAATATACCACCCTCATATACCTATGGCATTTGGGTAATTCCCCAAATGTCTGGGTATCTGGGAAATTTCCCAAATGCCTAGGTTTTGGGAAATTCCGAGACATTTAAGAAATTTCCAAAATTTTAAAAATACACCACCCTCAAATGCCTTTAGGAATTTGGAAATTTCCCAAATGCCTATTTTGATAAAATTGTAAATGATGTCGTCTCATGATATCCCTTTATATAGATATATATCATGAATGTTCCCTGTATATAGATATATATCCTGAATGTACATTGAATATCCTTGTATATAGATATATATCCAGAATGTATATTGAATATCTTTGTATATAGATATATATCCTGAATGTATATTGAATATCCCTGTATTTAAATGTAAATCCTGAATGCATATTGAACATCCTTGTATATAGATATATATCCTGAATGTATATTGAATATCCTTGTATATAGATATATATCCTGAATGTATATTGAATATCCTTGTATATAGATATATATCCTGAATGTATATTGAATATCCTTGTAT